TTGGCAGGAGAAAAGCAGTGTTCGGGAAAGAGCGAGTGAACGGGAAGAGCTACGTCTGTAAACCAGTGTTCGATTGAGTACCTAATCAAGAAACAAGTAATAATCGATAATCGAGAGACCTGGGCCGAGATTCTAAAATCACGATTCGACACACGACTCGACAACGATACCGGCCTTGTCGTGTCGAAAGGTATAATTCCAATGAGATTTCTAACCTAGAATCGTCGGAAAAATCGTCTCGTTGTCGAATCGTATGTCGAATCGTGATTTTAGAATCCCCGACCTGTGTCCTAAAAGTCAGAACTACGGCAGAAATAAAGTCCGTAAACGAAAAGCAGTACCTACCGTGAAGGAGTTGTCGAATTAATCGAGAGAAGAAGCACGACGTGAAAAAACGGGGCAGCGCGAAAATATTCGAGTTTTATTAGATGTTCATAAGTAAATTCCTTCGACCAATAAGAATTCCAGGTAATTAGGTGTGGCCAGTAGTAAATATATTATTGTTAAATGTATGTAGAGTTTTTTTTAATGTTCAGCCAGAAATTGTGAAGGCAAGAAAGTGAGTCGAGTGAAACTGTAAATTAAAATTTTAGTAATTTGTTGCATACAAGGGAACTTTTACGCTTATCTATATATAATAAAAGTATTTCAGTAGGGGAAAATAAGGAAAATACTTGGAATCATATAAATTTTCTTTAACATTTAATTAGATGCTTATTAGAGATTGAATAATTTTATTGTAAGATTATTTATGACCGACGCCTGTTATTTAATAATAAGTTTTATTTATTTTAATAAAATGAACATTATTTTAATTGACCACAATATTTCTGTGTTTTACTCTCCACCCGCAAATATAGGACCCACATTAATCTGTGTCTCCACTCAGAAACTAAAGTCACCGCTAGCCATATTTAACATCTTGCCAAGTTTCTGAATTTGGGGTCCCACACCAGGTGTAAGGCTGCGGTCTTCACAAACATGTTCCAAATTAATTTTTTTTTGGCCTTTGTCTCGTGAGTAGCAAAGTCAGGTGTAAGGTTGTGTGGTCTTCATAAACATGTTCCAATTGAGTTTTTTTGTTTTGTTTTTGTCTCGTAAGCAGCAGCTTCACAAACATGTTTGAAATTGTTCCCCGGTTTTTAAAATTACTTCCCGGTTTTTAAAATTACAGATTGATATATGTCAGTGATGTAAATAATGATACTTTTTGCAGTGTGGTGCGTTTTTACAGGGCTTGCTGATGAGCCAGGCAAAAGGAATTTTTGATGGGCGTGTTGATGCAATGATTTCGCCTTAACTTTCTTGTGGGTCAAATTCGACCCGGTATAATAGAAGCATGCATTTTGCGTTCCATATATCGCTGAAGGATAGAACCGCATTGCGCACCTTCTAGGAATGCCTAGCGAAAAAGGTAGAACAGTACCGACAGTACCATCGATACGATAGATTTGGTCTGGTGCGAACCCACTCCATTCGGCGGTCCCTTTCGCAAAAGATTTTCGCGACCGTTGAGTTTCTTGTCCATTTTTCGCCGTTTAATAATTGATCGTGTAATTAAGCCTTCAAGGAGCGCCCGAAAGTTACAAGACCACAGAAGCCAAATTCGGAAAGCGACAAACAACCTTTTTGCATGACCTCACTCAATTTCTTATTTTTTTTCGTGTAATAAGGACGCAATATTCGCTATACAGTCCACTTATAATTCAACCGTATTAATTGCATCCTCAGGGCACACATTTAAAAATAAAGGAATGCGTCCTTATACTGAAATTCTCTGTGCTCGAGTAAACATGGCAAACATGCCGCTTTCAATTCCTTTGTATATGTGTAATTGGAAATGATCATTAATATTACAACTCCTTCTTCCCTACAAAATATAATATTATGGGGATACAGAAGTAGGTACCTATCCCTCTTTGTTATCTTCATATTTCAGATGAATCTGATCTTACTAAAGCAGTGACGTATATCATATCCTGTCCTTATGAAAAATAAGAAGTAGATTTATTGGGTTCGAAAGAAAATTACTTGGCGACCCTAAAGAACAAACATTGGATTGGAAACTTAATAGCGTCATTTTGTACGGCACTTCAAAATTAAAGTGCCAGTTATCAAATCTCTTCATAATAACCGATAAAAAACAATTTGCTTCACGAAAAACATCCTGTATGTATGTGTGAATTATGTCTTTCGCCGCTTTGAGGATTAACTATGAGATACTTTTATTTGGCCTTTGGCCTTTATTTATTCTTTTTGAAAGAAAGGCCTTTTTCAGAAATCATTAGCTTCTAGATAGTAAAAGCAGATCTAAGCATATCTTATCAACGAGTAGTTTACTATTTTTTTTTTCTAAGAAAGAACATACAATTTTTGCTTTCTGGTAGAAATTAGAAATATTTTTCAAAGATTTTCCACTCTCAGGTCATTCTAAAAAAGTTGTTATTGAAACAGGTGGAAATGTTGTCCTTTGAAACAATTCTCGAAATTAGGCAATTGACCTTTTGTTTGGACGCCATATTGCGGTGCGCGAACATAGCTGCCAAAAGTAGAAAAAAAAAAAATTACTAGCGTACTGTCAACATTAAAAACAAAAGTTACTGAATAAATTAAATTTAAAATTTAAATTTGCCGCCTATTACGAATGTTTTTGGAAAGAAAAGCCATCAATTTTAGCTTGTATTGGGCAGAATAGAAATAATGTTTGTTTATAGAATCAGAGAGAAAAAGTAAACAAACAAAAAGGATACCGAGGATCAATCATTTATGGCAATTTCCATTTGTCAGTCAGTGCCAAAGAGTGCGCACTGAGTGTATCAACATCTTTTTCTAAAAGCATGTAAGATGTAATGATAACGATACATTTTTTTTGCACTGGTTCGACAAATGGAAATCGCTATTAGTTACTTTTGTTTTTAATGTTGACAGCCCGCTAGTAATTTTAGTTTTCTTCTTTTGGCAACTATGTTCGCGCACCGCAATATGGCGTCGAAACTAAAGGTCAATTCAATGCATGGTGAAATCAAATCAATATCCTATCATTTGTTCAGATACCAACATAATATTTGCACAACATGCTCGATTATTAAATGCCAATTTTGAAATATTGTCCTCAACAATAAAATGATATTCTAGGAATATAATTAATGTTTGTACAATATGCACCTAATCAGAACTTTATTATTAAATATACCTATGCTGCTTTGTCTAATAAGTGTAACAAAATCAATAGCAAATTCATATTCTTAGTTCAAGCTCATCTTTCGTGAGAAAAGTTTCATTTTCAAAGATAGTTAAAATGTGACCCTAATGAAATTTACAAACACATTATGGAGTTCTGCGAACAATCTGTTCGAGGGTAAAAATCACTTTAAAGCCAGAAAAGTATCGAATTTTATAGATTCAAGATTATTATTGCTGTAACCCGAAATTGACAAATATATAGAGAAAATTTATGTTTTCCTAGATAAACACTAATCTTTAAACTAATCTGTCGACTGAACCAGATCCCATGTGGTTGTAATAATTTATTCAAAGTCAAGGATAATCTTCTGAATACCCACGTTTTATGACGAACCCAGATGTCAGGTACCTAACTGATACCGCTGGAAAGAATTATTTATATTCGAAGCATGTGTGTGTTTAGCAAAGCAATAATTACATGAGCTGGATTTTTAAGATAAAATAATAAATTGTATAGCAATATAATTATTAAGGGTTATTACTTGGGTGAAATGTTAACTGTAAGATAGTCAAATGCTTAGTTATAATTAAGAAATATGTAGGAGATAGGAGTGATTACTCAATTATTTTATTCTTAAATTAATAGAGGATAGTTTAGTTCATTTCACACCCTTGATAATTAGGTTAGAAATCAGGGAACCTTTATTTCATTTATTCGACTAGTTTAGCAATTAAGAAATAAGAATAGAAAGCATATTAGGTAATTAGAAAAGGAAAGGTTTTCAATTAAAAGGGAAATATTAAATGTTTATTTAAGAATTCGACCACATGTAGGTAACTAGCGAACTCTGTTGGAGAGGCATCAAGCTGCATCACAGGGTGGAGCAGTTTGAATGGGGAAGGTTGAATAAACTTGAGAACCAATGGGAAATCAACAAGAAATCAGAAGGTACTTCCAGCGAATTGCTGAAAGCTAAGAGGGTTGGAGATCTTTGACTTTGTCCATTCTCGCAAGCCCGGTACCAAGGGTTAGCCAATGGGCTTCCAAAGTGGTACCCAGAGGGGGGTTCCTTCCGCTTATTTAAACAGATGTTGAGGCCAGTTAACTTTAGTTATCGCCAATTCGTCACTAGTTTTTACTATTAGTTATCGCCGGAAATTTATGTCGCAAAATCTCAACGAGCTCTCGATCCGTTTCTCATCCTCTAATTCATCTGCCGCCCGGTGTTTTAGTGTAAGCTCTCCAAAGAGGTGATAGTTCCACCACTCATAAATAAATTAATTTTAATCTTTCAAAATTAGTCTTTTCTTTTCTGGTTTTAAAATTCCCATTAAAACACTGGTGGTAGCATCGAAAGATATTACGTGCCGGTTTGTTCGGTTAAAGAAGGTGTTTCCAGCTTCAGCAGAAAAGTGGTAAGTGGTACCAATTTTGAGTCTCTAATAACACTTTTCAATACCCACTCCAAGAAGAGAAGAAAGAAGATTTCGTTCAGATTGCCTCCGGTTCAGAAAACTGTTATTTACTTTTCAGATCAAATTTACTTTTCAGCATAATTTACCACGAAATTTTAAGATGTGACTAGGCTACCAAAATATCAATCCTTACATAACATTTCAAATTTTGTCACAAAAGATTTAGGTCGTGAAAAATCCAATTATTGTAATAAATAAAATTGATTATGCCGCATTTTCAATATTACTTTATGAGGCACAAAGTAGAAAATGGGTTTAGAAAACCACTATTGTCCAATACGCCCGTAAATTTACACCTGCAGGCAGGTGTTATCGACCAGCATTATCAATAGCCTCCGGTTGCCTAGCACTGTGCGTGGCTATTTATCTTTTATCAAACTTGACAGGACTCAAACCATTTTTCGCTCGAAAAAATATGTGATTTGGCGCCGGCTGTCGCGTTTATTGCTCATCGTGAAATGGGCGACGACAAAAAGAAAGGGCAGGATGTAGGAGAAGAGGCCGAGGATGAACGGCTGGAATTCTTACTCAATTATCTCACGAAGTCTTACAAACTCAAACAGGAAAGATGGAATAAGATGATTGCGATTGATGAAAATCGGGTAAGATGAATTTTTTTTTCTAATGGTTCTACCCCAAATTTCATCTCTGATAGATGAGTCTACTAAACCATCACTCTTTTTCAGAAAATGATTTTAAAGTTCTTTGAAAACCCCTCTCAAAAAATGCTCCTACTGACAATACCGAGCACGGGACTTCTTACCCCGTTCACCTCGTTCAATGCCCAAGTTAAGCAAAAGTTTACTTATTTCATAAGAAAAAAAGAAGAAGCTGTAACAATGGAAAATTTCCGAGATGTACTCACGTTTGGAGACATGTCCGGAAAACCTATTGAAGATTTATCGGTGCTTGTAGAAGGAGTGTTTGTGCCGCTAATGTCAAACACCGATAATCAAAAAGGTTGGCCTAGGGTGGTGGCTCAGGATGTGGTCGCACACATAAGAACTTTTAAGAATACAGTCGATCAGGTAAGAATCATCTACATATACAAAGGTTTTCATTTTTGTAAGCAAAGCACCTGAAGTGGATGTGATAGATCTAGTTTAATCAACTCCACGCAGCTTCCTGATTACAATCAAATAATCTCGTGATATTGACAAAATCACATGACATAACAGGTGTATTATTTTTTACAGAAACAAAATTGCCCATATACAAGGGTGTAATGAAAGAACTTGATTACAAACTACAATAATAGACACTTAAACTAATACATTCTAGCGTTCCTTAACTCTGGCGGGTTCCAGAAAGCGTTGTTATCCATAATTTTTTAAATTTAAATTCCAGCAAAAGGGAAATATCTTTGTGTTGTCTTAGTAAATGTAAGTAAAACTTCTATATTCCGCTGGAAATCCTGTCTTTTCCTTTTTGGTTTTTCATCATTCACTCACGCCTACATAAATATCCTTCTCTGCCCTCTACGCTCAACAAAAACCGTGTACGTTCCAGATTAAGGGAGCAATGAAAAGTCAAGTAATCCTGCCGATGCCGCAGGGCATGTCGACGGTTTTCCAAGCGATCCAAGCTTTTATAGACACCGACGGCGAAGAAGTGAATTTGCCGCTGAAAACGACAATGGAAAATGCGGTCATGAAATGGACCACGGTTTGCGGCGAGATTTTGAAGCAAACTTCGCAACTGTGTTTCGCCAACGGTGCCAAACCGGTGCCGCAACAAGAAATCGAATTCTGGAATGCACGAGTTAAAAACATGGAGTCGATTTATGATCAATTGTGTGATCCCAGAGTCAAGGTATAGTAGAAGATAAATATCTTTTAACGATTTTTTGAGGATCACTTCATACAAGTTATAATTCAACTTAATATATGGATATATCTTCTACCAATAATCTTGCATAATTTGAGGTGATTTGATAGGCATTTTATAATAACCACAGTTACCTATACGTAGAATACTCATTTTTTTAGAAAATGGGTGAATACTTAGAATTAACAAAAAGCACTTATTCCAAGGCGTTCAATAATCTGTTCAAGGAAATCGTAGCGGCTCTTGTTGAGGCAAGAGATATATTGAAACATCTTAAAGCATTGGCGCCCTGTTTTGGAAAATTTGACGAAAATGAATTTTTGGAATGCGAACCCTATGTCAAACCTTTGGTGAGTCTTAAATTACCTATTTATTGGTAATTTTAATCAAATGGCCTACAGTCAAGCCAATGACTGTTCTACTAGATAATAATTGTGTTAATATTTATAATTATTCAAAATACCTATATGTATTCTTAAGGTCCATTGTGTTGGTTTGGTATGGACCCATTCAAAATACTACGCACGCAGTGACCGAATTGTGATCCTATTCAGAATGATTGTAAATCTCCTAATAGACTCGGCAGAAAGAACTTTAGATCCTAGCAGTATTTTTCAAGGTGAAGCCGACGAAATGTACGAAAAGATCAACGTGACCATTCACATTTTGGAAAAATTCCAAGACGCTTTCGAATACGTCCGAGAAAATTTAGATTCCTATTATAAACCGCCCATTGAGCCAACTGACGAAGTCCCTGAGAAAAAGTCATGGAATTTCCACAGACGAAATGTGTTTCAACGATTACTAGATTTCCTACAACGTTTGAACGTCATTAAAACGATTTTACAAACTTATCTCGATTTTTCAAAATTGGAAAAAGTCGAAATCGGCGGTATTAAAGGCAGATATTTGTCAGCCAAATGCCTAGAAATATTTGAGGAATTTAATAAATCTTATAATTTATTTCAAAATATTCAATACGACGTTATGGATACGAAAGACGCTTCTTTGATAAAAGATTTTAATAATTTCCAAGAAATTTGTGCCGATTACGATAAACGATTGGCTGCCATATTCAGGCAAGCATTCGACGATTGTTTCAATTTGGAAAACATTTTCAAATATCTCAATCTGGCGGCAAATATGTTTTCTAGGCCATACATTACCGATTTGGTTACAGTCAAATATCCGGTTATCACAGAAATGTTTGATAAGGAACTGAATACGGTTAAAGAGCTTTATGATACTGCTAAAAAGGAGGGAGCACCTATTGACAAAAATTATCCTCCTGTAGCTGGAACAATTTTGTGGCTACAACGATTATATTTGAGAATTTCTAAGCCTGCTGAAGAGTTCAGATTGATTGAACATGAAATTCTGGAAGAAGAATATACACAGGTAAATATTATCAGCAAATAAGTAATTTACTTAACATGTTGCTTATTAGGTTGTTTTTAAAAAATACGACGAAATGATACAATTATTAACAACAGAACAAACAAATCTGTTACAAGATTGGTTCGCAAAAGTTCCCGAGCAAATCAGTCATAGTATGTCAAAATTTCAAGTAGTTCGCGATCAAAATGAAATGTTGCTACTGAATTTCGATGACCAACTACAAGCGATTCTAAGGGAAATGAAATATTTGAAAAATATGGACATCGAAAATCTACCTCCAGAGGCGAACGAATTGTTTGAGAAAAGCGAAGAATTGTTTTCGTCCATTATGAAATTGAAACGAATCGTTGAATGGTATAATTATTTGATGCAAAAAACTACCCCCGAGGAGTTTAATTTGATTGAACCCGATCTTTTGGGTATTGATGAGTTACTTTTGCAAGTAACAGAGCAATATACTTGGGATACCAATAGTAAATATTGATCTATTCAATCTAATATATAAACAAAGACTACTTTCAGATATCGACATTATACAAGAAATTTTCAATTCTACCAAAGAGTTGACCGACAGAGTGAAAAAGGCCCAGGCAAACGTTAAAAATCTAATAAACGGTATAAACGCGTGGGGTCGCCAACTTTTATTCGAACGTAAAGATGGCAAAAAAGAAAACTTGCTTTATCTTGAAGATAGAAGCGAACGACTGCAAAAACGTCAAGAACAAGTGTTCGCCTCATCCGAAGAACTTCAAAGAATTGTCAAGGAAAATTACGAATTATTCTTTCACGAACCTATGGAGCCTGAACCTGAACCTGAACCTGACAGTATGATTTTTTTCTGTTTATAGAAACTAATTTTTATTGGAATAATTCAATCGTTTTTAGCTGCTTTGACAACGAAAACTGAACTAGCTGATAAGAAAAAAGGCAAAAAAGAAAAACCGAAAAAAGTCAAGAAGCCAAAACCGGTTCAGAAATCCCCAGAGGAACTGGCATTAGAAGCCGAAGAAGCTGCTAGATTAGAAGCGTTGGCCCAACAAAAAGAACGAAAACGAGAAATGTGGATTTTATATCTGCGAAATCTTGATAGTATAATTGAAAAACTAATGGTGGACGCCGTAAAATTAAATCAATTATCGATTCTGAATGAAATGGCCGACTATACTCCAAGTCCTCTTTTGGAACTTGTTATGGAACTACACGAACCTGTTATAGTTTTTATTCCTTCGATTGATTTGGAAGAACCATCGAATTTTATTACATTTGTAGAAGGTAAATATAGGTTATATTATTTACCAATTGCCAGGCTAATTAATATTCAATTATTCATTTTTTTTATATGCTTTAACGAGCTTATCCTTTTCCACGATGATTTTTTAAATACATTGTTGTGAAGTAAACATCTATACCGGGTGGTCCTCCGGGAATGACATCGATTGCTTATGGGAAAACTGTGAAAGGTAAAAATTTGAAAATTTGGCAACATAGCAATGTCGATGGGGGACATCTAGGTAAAATATTTTCAAGATGGCGGCATTTCCGGTCATACCGGAAGTTGATACCAACTCGGTTATTTTAAATAGAACACCCCATATATTAATGTATTTTTGGATTCTACATAAAATTCTGAGCAGATTTCATGTAATATACCCTATACCTAAGTTCAACTGTTTTGGAAATATTGACAGTTGAAAATTGACTTTTTGCAACTTTGACAAGCTGTAAAACCTAATTGGTTAATTTTAGAGGAAAACCGATTTCACATTCCTATCTTAGATTTTGATAAACTATCATTTGACACCAACTTTGAACTTAAACGGAGATTAAATTTAACTGAAATTTTTAATCATGGATTTAATTCAAAGTTGATGTCAAATGATAGTTTATAAAAATCTAAGATAGGAATGTGAAATCGGTTTTCCTCTAAAATTAACCAATTAGGTTTTACAGCTTGTCAAAGTTGCAAAAAGTCAATTTTCAACTGTCAATATTTCCAAAACAGTTGAACTTAGGTATAGGGTATATTACATGAAATCTGCTCAGAATTTTATGTAGAATCCAAAAATACATTAATATATGGGGTGTTCTATTTAAAATAACCGAGTTGGTATCAACTTCCGGTATGACCGGAAATGCCGCCATCTTGAAAATATTTTACCTAGATGTCCCCCATCGACATTGCTATGTTGCCAAATTTTCAAATTTTTACCTTTCACAGTTTTCCCATAAGCAATCGATGTCATTCCCGAAGGACCACCCTGTATAGTTGCTAAATCATTCAAAATCAAAATCGAAATTTTTCAATTTTCAAAAATAATAATACGCAATTTTGTTCACACCAGACATATAGTCAACAAAAACCTCAATATACACAAAAAACACTCTATGTACCACAGAAACCACAGTTTCCTTCCCAACCTATTAACATAACACATAAAAAGGACTATGTACCAAGTCCAACCACTCAGGAACTTTTGAGAAAAATTACAATAATGCCTTTCGAAAAGACACTAATCAACAATTTTCAAAACCGACATCTATGTCCGGAGTTTCAGTGCAACCTCGAGCACAAAATCAACATCGGTACAGACCCAATATTTATTCCAAAGCTGACCCACAGACAGGCCCTTCAAAATATACAATTGAAGAGATTAATAATATCTTTGAAATATAATTACCTGACCCTGACGAAAATTTCGAAACTGAAGACGAAATTATTATAAAGAGACAAATTCTGAAGAAAATCAAGTCGAAACTAAAGACGAAAATTTTCAGTTACCAGCCTTGGATGCAATGAGTCAGCATTAACTTTAAATACTTATTACATCAGCCAACTACCTTTTATTCAAATAGACCATCCAACCTGTCAATTATTGATCGTTAAGGAAGTCATACCTCTATGTAATAAGACCCTTAATCGCCGAAGAATATTTTTCAAATTCTATAATTAATTCACGAAATAAGTTAACAACTTTTATGGGACCAAAAGAATCCCAAAGAAAAATCATGTCCCAATTTTACAAGAATATAATATTCAAAACAATATTGAAATGATAATGTATAATTTCCATGACTATTTTGATGGAATTATTGGAATCAAATTGCATTGCAAGAAAATAATTTAAATATAGATTTTTCTAATATGCTTCTTTCTAATAATAAAACAACAATTTCAATATGTATAGAAAAGATTTCGAAAATCAGAATTTTCAGATTCTCAGCAACTCAATTCAAGTATGTTATTTCAGTACAAATAAAGCTGATGGCGTTGAAATTCTTACACCTCCAATAAAAAATGAAATATATTATATTCCCTCGACAATAACAACAGTCATGAATGAGATGGTGCCTTTAGAAGTACACAACTTTAATGAATAAGCCTATTATTGTCTCGTATAATATTGTCGCGAAAATCTGGCGGAAGTGCCAGGGTATACAGAATTAGACAGCTGATTCTAGATTTTACAGTGCTATGCGGGAAGAAGGGCTATCGCGTTTATTCTGGATTTTACAAGAATGGATTACGGATATATGAAGGCCGGTATTAGATAGTAGTTTTTAGTTTAGGATTGACTGTGATAGGATTTAGATAGTGAATATTAAAAGAGTTGTGAAGAGTTAAGTTGTTTGAGTTAATTAGTGAACCCAATATTAGGGTCGTTTCATGATTTTTTTTTATTTTTTCATTGAATTAGGCACATCAAAATCTATTCTTGGTTTTTTTCCCGCATTTTTTAGAATAATATTAAAGGAGATATTTCAATTTGAAATTTTACTATTATTCGTTATTTTTTAAATTGTAATGACGTCACAAGGCGAGCTTGCGCACTGTATTTCTAAATTTAAGTTTGCATCACTGACAAAATTTCCTAGTTGTCTAGTTGGCTGCAATGTCACTGGCCCATCTCCTGTCTTCTTTTAGAGGTTATGTCAGTTATTTTGTTTATTTTGATTCGCCTGTCTAGTCTGGTTGATTTATAAAATTAAAAATAAATACTTATTTCACCCGTTTATTTGGTCGGTTTATGTGAGAAGATGGATATTGGATTTATCAAAGCCTCCAGCGAAAATCAACCTGAACTAAATTATGTGATGTTGCAAGAGTTATTTGCCAAAAATACGGATTATTTAAGTGCAGAAATAAGAGGAGTCAAAACCGAGGTCAAAACCTAAAGGTGGGTAGTGAAATATTGGCATAATTATTGTATTGGTTTAGCTTCGGCCCATTATTATATTACATTTTTAGTAGCAGCGTAACAGTTTTATAGTTTCATATATTTTTAGGTCAGCGAGAGCCAGTTATGGTGACAATGCTATTGGCTATGTGCATTAATGTGCAGTTGAAAAGAGACAGCAGAATATCCTCTATTAGGAGCATCGCCGGATGGAATGAGCAAAGAATTTGTGATTGAAGTTTAATGTCCTAGTAAGGAGACTGTGAAAAACTACATTAAGGAAAATGGAAATATATTGACGAAATACATGTGCCAACTTCAGTCTTCAGTTACAAATGTTATTGTGTAACAGATAAAAAGGACTGTTTTGTGTGGCAAGTCCCAAATTTCGAGAGGATAATGAAGTGACAATTTTTGAATTAGACTTAAACATTAGGTTTATTAAAGTAATTATTGAATCAGCTGAAGAATTTTGGAAGAAAAATGTATTTTCAGTCATTTTGAATAAAAATATATGATTGATTTGAGAGTCTGGTAGTTTTCTTCTTTACATTATTTATGCATTAAAAGTACCCTTTTAATCCCCAGGATTGATTAAATTTCACTTTATTTCCCAAGAGATTTACTTTTTACTTCATTTCCCGTGGAGTAAATGGAACAGGGAATAAAAGGGTACTACTCCAAAGTTGAGGGAATAAAAAATACTTTAGTCCTGAGATGTATACACTATTTTATGTACTTTAGAGGGATCAAAAGTACCCTTTTAAAATCCCTAAAGTGCATATGATAGTGTATACACCTCAGGACTAAAGTGTTTTTTAATCCCTAAACAAATTATAGCCCTCACTTCGGGATTAAAAGTACCACTTTAGTTTCTAGGTGTATAATGTACTATTTTGGCAGTAAAAAAAGTAATAGGTATTGTTTTTTATACAATATATTCAAAAAAGCATTTTTTTCTAGCTTCGACATAAAATTTATTTGAATAATGGTCCCTGCAAATTCACTATTCCACAAGCAATAATTATTAAATAATCAGTTTTTGCCACAAGCTAATCGTCAATGCAGCAATGTCCTTCGAGTATTGTTAATTCTCACAATCTTTGTATCACTCTTTCAATATGGATTCGTAAGCTGGCAATTCTTTTATTCAGTTTCTTCACAAACTCGGATTCTGCCTAAATTAATATGTGGAACCACTTTTTTCTTCATAAGTAATTTGCAGTTTGTCATCCTAAACTGCATCTAGTTATCACAATCTTGTTCCATCTATAAACATAATATAATGATAATGTTCATATTTTTGAAATAATGTAAAACAGAAAATAGGTGTTTATAAAATGAAATTTGGCAACTAAGTTTACTTACATTGATATGATCTTCGCAGCAATAAATTCCACCAGAAATACTAGACAATACATTAACTCTTTCCACAGCTAAACACCAACTTCTTCTTTTTGTTCATTTTTGGGGACAGCTATAAAGTTTTTCTTCAAATTTAGATTACTGTTTTTACAAGAAGGCACAAAACATTCCATAGCCAAATAGTCAACAGTAGATAGGACTTAGGTGGGTACACTGAAACTGAAATGCATGCTCTATTTGAGACCTTAATAACATCAAATAATGAGAAACAATGACTTACCTTGAATTTATAACACGTTTCTTTTAAATATTTTTCTTGAAACCTCGGAAAAACCGTTGAAAAACTCGAAAAATAATGAAAATATAACAACGGTCAACGACATTCCAAAATAATAACAAAGCAATATAACCTCACAAAATTGCATATGTTGATGGATTTGTTTACAACTGCTTTGCGCATGCCCGCCTAGTGACGTCATGGGAGAAAGAGACCAACAATTCGACAAGGACAAAAAATGTTTAAATTTTAAATTAATTTAAATAAACCAGGAAACAATTTTCAATGCAACCAATATGACATGGCTAAGTTTTAGGCCTCACTATATCGAAAAATAATGGTCAGTATAATTTTAATGATAGGAGGTAACTACCCTTTTCTGTCACGCACCCCAGAGCCGTGACAATATAAATAACTTGGCGGATATAAGTTTACCTTATGCTGATGAACAGTTT